AAACGCTTGTTTAGGTTTTGGGGGGGGGGGGGGACAAAAAAACCACTTTCACCTACCGAATCCTTTCCTTCTTCAGCCTTCGTCCAGACGTTAAAATTCCCTGGTGGTTGCAAGTTCTCTGGCATCATCAAGTCCAAAGTAGAGGCCATGGGCAGCCCCGGGGATAAGTGGTTAGCACTTCTGCCTAGCAGCACAAGGGCCACCAGTTCAAATCCCAACCATGGAGCATGCGTGGAGTTTGCATGTTCTCCCTGTGCCTGTATGGGCTTCCTCCAAGTACTCTGGTTTCCTTCTGCACCCCAAAGTGTGCTCATATAGGTTAAATAGCCCTTCTGTAAGGAAAACCCCTAGACCAAGCAAATAGTTCCATCTAGTTATCTTATTAAAAACCTAACTATACTGTTTCAGCTATTCAAGACGAAAGCAGAGGTTTATGTTGCATACATTTGCAAATACATGTAATTTTTTTCTGCTCTGTCAAGGTCCCTCTGCCAATCTCCTTTGACGTAAAGAGATCCAGTGGTCCCGACTAAAAACTATGTGAATTAAACCTTGGGATACATTATTTATTTATTTATTTATTTATTTCAGGTAGCGCCATCAATTTACACAGTGCTTTACATATACAGTGGGGATCGAAAGTTTGGGCACCCCAGCTAAAAATTTGTATTAATGTGCATAAAGAAGCCAAGGAAAGATGAAAAATCTCCAAAAGGCATCAAATTACAGATTAGACATTCTTATAATATGTCAACAAAAGTTAGATTTTATTTCCATCATTTACACTTTCAAAATAACAGAAAAAAAAAAAAATGGCGTCTGCAAAAGTTTGGGCACCCTGCAGAATTTATAGCATGCACTGCCCCCTTTGCCAAGCTGAGACCTGCCAGTGTCATGGATTGTTCTCAATCATCATCTGGAAAGACCAGGTGATGTCAATCTCAAAGGTTTTAAATGCCCAGACTCATCTGACCTTGCCACAACAATCAGCACCATGGGTTCTTCTAAGCAGTTGTCTAGAAAACTGAAACTGAAAATAGTTGACGCTCACAAAGCTGGAGAAGGCTATAAGAAGATAGCAAAGCGGTTTCAGATGTCAATCTCCTCTGTTCGGAATGTAATTAAGAAATGGCAGTCATCAGGAACAGTGGAAGTTAAAGCAAGATCTGGAAGACCAAGAAAAATATCAGACAGAACAGCTCACAGGATTGTGAGAAAAACAATTCAAAACCCACATTTGACTGCACGATCCCTCCAGAAAGATCTGGCAGACACTGGAGTTGTGGTACACTATTCCACTATAAAGAGATACTTGTGCAAATATGGTCTTCATGGAAGAGTCATCAGAAGAAAACCTCTTCTACGTCCTCACCACAAAAATCATCGTTTGAACTTTGCAAATGAACATATAGACAAGCCTGATGCATTTTGGAAACAAGTTCTGTGGACTGATGAGGTTAAAATTGAACTTTTTGGCCGGAATGAGCAAAGGTACGTTTGGAGAAGAAGGGGCACAGAATTTAATGAAAAGAACCTCTGTCCAACTGTTAAGCATGGGGTTGGATCAATCATGCTTTGGGGTTGTGTTGCAGCCAGTGGCACAGGGAACATCTCACGAGTAGAAGGAAAAATGGATTCAATAAAATTTCAGCAAATTTTGGATGGTAACTTGATGCCATCTGTGAAAAAGCTGAAGTTAAAGAGAGGATGGCTTCTACAAATGGATAATGATCCTAAACTCACCTCGAAATCCACGGGGGATTACATCAAGAGGCGTAAACTGAAGGTTTTGCCATGGCCTTCACTATCTCCTGACCTCAACATCATTGAAAATCTATGGATAGACCTTAAAAGAGCAGTGCGTGACAGACAGCCCAGAAATCTCAAAGAACTGGAAGACTTTTGTAAGGAAGAATGGGCAAAGATACCTCAAACAAGAATTGAAAGACTCTTGGCTGGCTACAAAAAGCGTTTACAAGCTGTGATACTTGCCAAAGGGGGCAGTACAAGATATTAACTCTGCAGGGTGCACAAACTTTTGCAGATGCCATTTTTTTGTTTTCTGTTATTTTGAAAGTGTAAATGATGGAAATAAAATCTAACTTTTGTTGACATATTATAAGAATGTCTAATCTGTAATTTGATGCCTTTTGGAGATTTTTCCATCTTTCCTTGGCTTCTTTATGCACATTAATACAAATTTTTAGCTGGGGTGCCCAAACTTTCGATCCCCACTGTAGTACGTTCCCATCAGTCCCTAGCCCTCAAGGGACGTACAATCTAAAGTCCCTAACTTACATTCATACATACACATACTAGGGCCAATTTAGACAGGATCCAATTAACCTACCAGCATGTCTTTGGAGTGTGGAAGGATACCGGAGTACCCGGAGGAAACCCACGCAGGCACAGGGAGAACATGCAAACTCCAGGCAGGTGATGCCGTGGTTGGGATTTGAACCAGCGACCCTAGTACGGCCAGGCGGAAGTGCTAACCATTTAGCCCCTTTGCTGCCCCATATACAGTATATGTGTCTGATTGTAAACCACAAATTTCTGCAACCCTAGAGATCAACCATATAGCTGCTGTGCAAATATCTAAAAAGGATAATCAAAGTTTATATCTACCAAAAGCAGAGCTCAAACCCTAATCTTATATTGTGCAATCTCCCTTGAGTGCCAATTCACACCGGGGATTGCAAAGGAACTATCAGTGCATTCAAGTATGATTCACATGCAGTTTTGTGCAGTGCAATTTCAGCACATCCATTTTGAATGGGCGGAAAATGCACCACGCCACACCAAAACTAGTGCATGCACTACTTTTGCAAACACACTGCAACTGGATCGTATGGTACTTTTGTACCATGCAATCCAGCGCGGGCAAACAAAACCCACTGCAGATTGCAACTGCAGTGCATTTTGAATGCGTCGTGGGAAACTCACACAGAACGTGTGTTTTCTGCACCGCATTTTAGTGTGAACTGACTGTTATGCAAGAAAAAAGTGCATACAAATGCTGTGCAAATGTAAAAAAATATATTAAATCAATAAACCATAAATCATCTGATTAAGCTCAATTTATATATGACCATAAAGTGCAATAGTACCAAATCTTGTGACATGCGATGTATGTACAACTACTGTGCAAGCATGAAAAATATATGAAATTAAAAAATATATTATCATATAAAAAAATCATTTTATAGAGCTCACTCCACATATGCCTATACAGTGCCAATAAATGTCAACAATCACAAAAACAGTGTAATAGTGCAGCCCACACATGTGAAAATTGTCCACCAATCATTAATGTGCAGAAAAGTCCATCACACAAGTGTCCAGTGAAATCAATGCTGATCCTCCATGGTTTCCACTTGATCTTTTCACTCCCATTTTGTAATGGCCACTCACCAACCCCAACCATAGGAAGGAATGGAGCGGGTGGTTTTCTTTCTTTTTTTGCAAAGACTGTGCCACACAGTGAAGATCTTCAAAGCCAGGCTGAATGTAGCTTATATTTAGGTGGGAACCTTTAAAGGACAACACTTAAAATGAAGTTGTCCTTTAAAATGTCTTCTTGCAGCATTTCACCTGTTCTGCTCTCACTCATCCAGCTGAGTCTCAACAGTAAAGGTGTATGTCATGTGACCACACAGTCATGCTTCTAGGCAGGGGTGGACTGACAACTCATGGGGCCCCCGGGCAATAGGGAATCATGGGGCCCCTGCATCCTTGCCCAAACTCAAAAAAGCCTATGAAAAAGGTACCAGGGGCATCTCATGGGGCCCCCTACTGACCCCGGGCTCTCAGGAAGTGCCCGAGTTTTCAAATGGTCAGTCCGCCCCTGCTTCTAGGTATACATGTGTTGTGTCGGGGGCTGTTCATGAATATTGAAAGCAAGATCCCAGCTACAAAACAAGATAAAATGAATAGCCCATTAAAAAACAAAATAAAAAGCAGCTTTAGATGCAATATGCAATTTCAATCCAGTGCTATTCCCCACAGTACTTCTTTTCTGACACTAGATGTCCTCAGTCTGACGTCCATCATCATTTAATCCACTTCTTCTGAGCCCAGGATATGGACCTGCCTCTGACTGGGCAGTAAAATTTTAAGCAGCACAGTGATAAGCTCCATCTATTGGTGTGCTGTACAGGGACTACATCGCTGATATCAGATCAGATTCAAATGCTTACACTGCTTGCATGTACTTTTAAAGATTAAATTATGAATTTAGTGAGTCACAATAATTTGTGTTCTTTTTTATTTAGCTTTAAGTTTATTTCAGTCTGATTGGTTAAAGCAGGGGTGTTCAACCTACAGCCTAAGGATGCATGCAACCCTAGACAGCTATGAATGCGGCCCAACACAAAATTGTAAATTTATTTAACCACTTTCCTACCGGGCACTTATACCCCCTTCCTTACCAGGCCAATTTTCAGCTTTCAGCGCTGTCGCACTTTGATTGACAATTGTGCGGTCATGCAAGATTATACCCATATGAAATTTTTATTATTTTTTTCTCACAAATAGAGCTTTCTTTTGGTGGTATTTAATCACGGCTGGGCACTTTACTTTTTGTGCTATAAACAAAAAGTGTGCAAAAAATTTGAAAAAAAAAAAAGGTTTCTTTGTTTCTACTATAAAATTTTTCAAACAGGTAATTTTTCTCCTTCACTGATGTGCGTTGATGAGGCAGCACTGATGGGCACTGATAGGCAACACTGATGGGCACTGATAAGCAGCACTGAAGGGCACTGATAGGTGGCACTGATAGGCAGCACTAATGAGGTGTCAAGGATAGGCGGCACTGATAGGTGGCACTGATGATGGGTACTGATAGACAGCACTGATAGGTGGCACTGACTGGCATCACTGCTGGGCACTGACTGGCGGCACTGCTAGGCATTGACTGGCACAAATGCTGGGCACTGACCGGCACAACCGCTAGGCACTGACTGGTGGCACTGACTGGCAGCACTGTTGGGCTGCATTGATGGGCACTGGTTGGTGGCACTGGTGGGCACAGGTGGGTGGCACTGGTGGGCACAGGTAGGTGGGCACAGGTGGGCACAGGTGGGTGTGCACAGGTAGGTGGCAAGGCTGGGCACAGGTAGGTGGCACTGCTGGGTGGCACTGGTGGGCACTGCTGGGCACAGGTGGGTGCACTGCTGGGCACAGGTGGGCGGCACTGCTGGGCACAGGTGGGCAGAACTGGTGGGTGGCGCTGCTGGGCACCGATCATCAGGGCACTAATCATCAGTGCCCTGATGATCAGTGCCGATCCTTGCTCTGACAACTGCTGGTTCTCGGCAGTACTTTCCTCACGATCTGACAGCGTGAGGAAAGTGCAGCCAAGAACCGGCAATTGCATTTCCCGGTGATCAGCGTGTCATTGGACACGGCTGATCAAGTGGTAAAAGGCCGCTGTGTTTGGCCTTTTACCACATCACGTAATCAGCTGTGTCTGTAGGACACAGCGACCATGGAGATCGCCGGGTGCGCGCCGAGCGCGTTCTGGGAGGACGTCATATGATGCCCTCCCAGAACTAGCCGGCCGCAGTGTAGCCGTCATTCGGCTATTTGTGGTTGGCAAGTAGTTAAAAATGTTGATTTTTTGGGGGTAATTTTTTTGTAAAAATGCATTTAAATAGAAAAATTTGTGTCTCTTTATTGAACTTTTATAAGTTTTATCTTCCCAAAGAAATATCTCCTACTCTTTGTGTCATTAGTTTTCGGTAATACCTATATTTGTGAGCAGCTATTTTCAAGAAGCACAAAAAGGGCAAAATTAGAACCAAAATATCTGATGAGCACCTTGAGAATGCATTGAAAATTGCTACTACATCCAATATCCACATCAAATATTGCACTAGTTTTATGTTGTCCTTACTTTTACTTTTTAATAAAACATCACAGAAAAAAGGAAGTTTTATTACTCAGATAGGTCCATTATCTATATCAGTGATCATTAACTTGTGATCTGCCCAACTTTTTCTGCTCATCATCTGTCCTTTTTTTGTTAGTGTATCTTATATGTGGCCCAAGACAATTCCTTGTCTTCCAATGTGGCCCAGGAAAGTCAAAAGGTTGGACACCCCTGTGTTAAAGAGTTAGGTCACTTGTAGAGCTCATTCACATGGATTCTGAGGCCCCTACTCTGTGAATTAGCCATTTGTTTATGTAGCTGAAGCTACCAGGTGCTGCATGCAAGCAGCCCAGGTATGCAATGGTTCCATGGACAGGCATGTGAGTTAACATATCCCACCAGTCACCCTCTATTCTTTTGTATCCTAATCCCTCACACTTGTTCACTTTCTTTTCCCCCCACTTTTCATTTTGTGGCAGTTTATATTTCTTCCATTTGTCATTCGTTCTCCTTCCCTGTTTACTGTTGTTTAGCCCCTACCACCTGTCATTGTTTTCTCCTCCTCTGGTTCTTGTCATTTAGCTCCTCCTACCTGTCAAAAGTCACTCCTCCCCCACTCACAACTCTTTCCACCTACCAATCTTTATATACAGTGAAGGAAATAAGTATTTGATCCCCTGCTGATTTTGCATGTTTGCCCACTCACACACCGCCAAGGCAACAAAGGAGTAGCTCAAGAAGAAGCACATTAAGGTCCTGGAGTGGCCTAGCCAGTCTTCAGACCTTAATCTGATTGAAAATCTGTGGAGGGAGCTGAAAGTTCTAGCTGCCAAATGTCAGCCACCAAACCTTAATGACTTTGAGAGGATCTGCCAAGAGGAGTGGGCCAAAATCCCTCCTGAGATGTGTGCAAACCTGGTGGCCAACTACAGGAAACATCAGACCTCTGTGATTGCCAACAAGGGATTTGCCATCAAGTACTAAGTCATGTTTTGTGAAGGGGATCAAATACTTGGTTCCCTCATGAACATGCAAATCAGTGCATCATTTGTTAGACATGCATTTCTTTTGAATTTTATTGTTGCTATTCTGTCTCAGTGTTACAGTACACCTACCATTCAATTTTTAGACTGATAATTTCTCTGTGAATGGGAAAACATTCAAAATCAGCAGGGGATCAAATACTTATTTCCTTCACTGTATGCATTTCTTCCCACTTGTCAGTCTTCCATGCTCCCCTTCTCTCTGTTCATCCCCACTCTCATGTTAAGTCTGATAACTTTTTGTTTTAAGTAGTGGCATGCTCCCTGACATTTAGTTCCATACTGCTGCCTTTGGTTAAGAGCTTACCATATACTGTAACTGTATGTTCTCTTATTCATCATTTTGCAAATTAATTTTCCATTATTTAACAACCTAATATGTGCAGCACTCTGTAATCATGTTATCCTAACCCTAATATCTGCTAACCAGAGCAATCAATATCTATTCAATCAGAGACTAAATATAAACATCATTTATGAACCTTCTGTATATTTATTTCATTTTTTAGCTTTACCATTCATTTTAAATATACAATGTTGTATATTTGTATCTTTTTATACCTCCTTCAGATCACAATCAATGTTTTTAACCTCTAACCGCTGGTCATACACATATATGCAGCCTTTTGGTGGGCGGGCCTTAACACTGAGAGGCCACATATATGTGTACCAAAATGTAAACATTCTCCTCTCTGCCAATCCCTTCATTGGCTTCCACTAACCCAGTGTTTCTCAACTCCAGTCCTCATGGACCCCCAACAGGTCATGTTTTCAGGGTTTCCCTCAGATGAAACAGCTGTGGTAATTACTAAGGCAGTGAAACTGATCAAATCACCTGTGCAAAATAATGGAAATCCTGAAAACATGACCTGTTGGGGGTCCATGAGGACTGGAGTTGAGAAACACTGCACTAACCCAACGTATAAAATTCAAAATATTAACCACAGCTTACAAAGCCATCCCCAATACTGCCCCTAGCTACATCACCAACCTCATCCACAGATATCGCCCAAATCGCCCACTTTGCTCCTCCCAAGATATCTTCCTCTCTAGCTCCCTCATCACCTCCTCCCACACTCGCCTCCAGGACTTCTCCAGAGCCTCTCCCATCCTCTGGAACTCCCTACCACAGTATGTCCGGTCAGCCCCCACCCTGTCTGCCTTTAGGCGATCTTTGAAAACTCACTTATTCAGGGAAGCCTACTGCACCTCTACCTAAGAACTGTACTTGAATCACCTCCATCAGAACATCGTCTACAGCTATCACCTTTTGTATCACCTCCCACTTCCTTTAGATTGTAAGCTCCAGGAGCAGGACCCTCCTATTCCTTCTGTACTGAACTGTATTGTTGCTGTATTGTCTCCCTTTATATTGTAAATTGCTGTGCAAATTGTTGGCGCTATATAAATCCTGTATGATAATAATAAAAATGTAATCAATGTTGTGCCGAGAGCGTGCGCTCTCGTCACAGTTACCGGTGGGTAACAGAAAGCTCCTGACCTCTGCTTGCAGTCGGGAGCTTTCCGATCATATGACCACTGTTAAAGCCAATCACTGCGGTCACATGACCTAAATGACGTGTCTCAAACCTCCTAAAGAGCCCGGAGCTGCTGGTGGGAAGGGATAAATTTAATGGAGTCCAGCCATAAAGGAGATATATGTCCTAAGATACATTGTCCTATTTGAATCTTGTTTGCGTTGATATTATCTTTTTTTTACTGGTTAGTAGTAATAGTTTTCTTAAAGTGTTACTAAACCCAGTCACCTGCAGTCACTATATCTGGTCTCCCACAGTACAGAGAACATCAACATGCAATTATTTTAGCAAATATAAACTGATAAATACCTTTTCTCATCAGCAGTTAGAGCAGTCTTGTGACATCTATCAGTGTTCAGCAGAGCACTGGTTACAGCTTGTAGGTTTCATTCTGCTCTAGGAGGATGCAGAACCCCCGACCTCTGTCTGGACAGTGCTGATTGGCCCTGTGCTGATCATATGCACTCTCCCAAGGTAAAAAAAAAAAAACTCTCTAGCAATACACACCAAACTGAGCATGTGGAGAGTGTCTCCACATGATATGTCTTATCAGGAGATAAGAGGGGGCACTGGAATAAGGGGAGGATCAGAGACGTCAGGATCAAACAGCGTTTTTACACAATGCAGAGAATTGAGTATAACAAGCATGCTTTACTGCATATAATGACTGGTTTTACTGTTGAGGGTTTAGTAACACTTTAAGTTAAAATTGGTTGCTTTAGTACTAAATTGAATTCTTACCACTAGTAATCTTAGCACCACTAGTCATATTGTTAAATCAATATTGTGTAAGTGAATATTGGATATTTTACATTTAAACCATGTTGCTAATAGTACTACTGGTCATAAAACACCAGAAAATCACCACTGACAGTAATATCCAGCATTAATAAAATGAACATTTTTACCTTTCACAGTCACCTGGGCCCAGGATAACCAGCATTAGAGGTAACATATTTGTACACAGCAAAACAAAACACTTTTTTCCCCTGAAATTTAAGTCACCATCAAAGTTACAAACGATATCTCAATAATGAATCTGCTCTGTGGCAGAAGTATAGCACAGGTGGTTGATATAAAAAAGAACCAAAGATAGCATAAAACAAATGTATGCAGTATCAAATAATTATTATACCAACAACCATTAGCCTATTAAAATACGATCCCGAACGTCAATATGTAAGTGCATTTAATAAATCCAGTGTCTGCAAATCAAATAATTAAGAGTCTATGATATATCCCAAGGACATTTTGGGGAGAAAAGGATCTTCCACCAACCAGACAAGTTCTCATCCTTCTGTGTGCAGAGATGGCCAAGCACCACCTTACAAAGTGAACACTCACCAGCAGCACATGCTGAAATAAATACAGCAGCCACAGTGTATATTTAAAGTGGAGTTTTCACGCTCTAAATCAACATTGACTATTTTTAATCCTTATACTGCTAGCATTAGTAAATAGATAGGAAAGTAGATCATATTCACATCTTTTAAACTTTTTTTTTTACATTTCTTCAGTGACTTCCTGGTTTCTTGCCTAAACAAATGATGTCATACATCCCAGCAATCTTTAGGAGGGGAGGGTTCTTAGCTCAGCCAACGCATGAGCTAAGGGCAGATGGATTCCAGGAAGTAAATGCTGCATGAATCATCTGCCCTTACTCAGGATGGCCTCTGCCAGAAATGCCAGGGGGTGTTTTTCAAAGTAATTTCTCAGCAACATAAAGCATGGAGACATGGATGGATGAGGGGGTTTGCTTTGAATATCAACAATGAATTGAATAGCATTTTTGGTTTGTGGTGCTCAGATGCAGTGCAGTTCCACTTTAAGCAAGGTATATGTACAGAACTGGAAAAAAAAAGGCGCTGTGGAAAATGCTCTCAGACAAGCACCTTAGTGAAGGGGCATCTTTATTGGGTGAGAC